ACACTCCCATTCCCTTACTGTTTTCAACTTTCATAGTTTTCTAGAGGGAAATAAAACCATTCTAGATCTGACTTTGAAGAGTGAGCTTGGCCAAATTGGGACCAGGAAAATTAGGATTTTTAAAAGAGGAAGGCGGTGTAACTCAGACACAAGGCTCGCTACACAGGCTTTAATTTCTTGGAGCACTAGAAAAACAAAATGCTACTGGTTTAATTTCTAGCCATATGTCTGGGTGGAGAGATTTCAAGCTATGTGTTTGTGAAGTGAGAAATCTGTATATTAGACATGACTGACTAGGAAAGGAATTCTAATGCATTTCTATTTAGATTTCCTGTGACTTTGTCAGTTCATTGCCTTTTCTTTTGGCTTTATTTTGTTGGCATCATCAGATTTTTCTTAAAATTAATTGTTATTAAATACCTCATCAGGAATAATTAAGTTTTTGTTTTCTTCTTTACTTTGCCAAAACAGAAACAAAAACACCTTAGTGTAGCTAAAATAAAAGATTAGATTTTGAATTAAAAATTCAATTGAACAGATTTCTATACTGTCCTTGTTGATGAAATCTGTTTTTTTTAAAAAATATACATATCTTCAAATTAAATTTTCCTAACATGAAAGCTTTTTACTTTTTTTACACAAAGAACTGAAAGCATCTGTGAAATTCATTAAATCTTCTACAACATGACAGTTCAGAAATAATTTTTCACCCAATTATGATTTATTTTCACAATAATAGAAAGATTGAAGCCAGCTAATTTTAATTGACACTGTCTTGAAGATATATTTAAACTGATGTATGGTTCAGTATAATTTAAAACAAATATTCTCTGTCTTGAAGATATATTTAAACTGATGTATAAATCAGTATAATTTAAAACAAATATTATTTGCTATTTTCTTAATTGGAAAACAATATGTCATTTAATTTATAGAAAATAGAGACAAGTATCTGCCTTGGCTATTGTTTATTAAGAGCATCTACTTGCACTGTCTTTTATTCTTCCCACAAATGAATACAATAATTGTGTTAAACAATATTCAAGACTAATGTATTATAGATATTTTCTTCCATATATCTTACTATGAGTTTTTTTAAAAAATTTAAGCATATTGCTTCAAATCTTAATTATTTTTGGCTCTTTTTTTATTCTTATTGTACTTTCTATGGAAATGACTTTTAGATGCCATAATTACTTTGTACATTGTTATATTTTTCCATTAACTTTCACTTGTAAATTAATATATTTCTAGGAAAAGCTCAATCTTTACATCACATCAAATTTTTTTTAGAATTTTAACCAATAGACTATTTTCTTATTTGTAAATACATACTCAGTATCCAATTGATCATATTTTTGCCAGCTTATTATGTGAACATATTGGATTCATCTATTACCTTAAAATATCATTTGAAAAATTTCAGCTCCTTAAGTGAATTGATCATATTTCTTATTTAACATATTAGTATTGATCTTTTTAAATCTCCAAGCATTTATTGATCCTTCCAAAGAATTTTTTTATGCATTGTCTCCATATTTTTTTCCATGGTAATCGTTTTGTCCTTTATTGGAGGAAAAAGAAAAGTATCTGGTATTTCTGAAAGGATTAGAACCAAAATAGTTATCTCTGTGGTCATGGGATAATGGAAATTTCTTTAGAATTTTAGGACTTGATTAATATATGTTTATGCAAGTGGACCTTTCTACCCTGTGAAATGGTGTTTTATGAAATGTGAAATTTTTTCTTCCACATCCCACTCAGTCTGTAAGAATATACCAATCTCCTAGTGAGATAAACATCTCAAGGGCTTTGGGGTAGTAGAGGTCTCACACACAGCCTTTAACTTCTTGTAAACTATTTCTGGAAGATTCTGCCACGGGTCTTTCATGTTCCTCGGGCCAATCTCCCACTGGATAAATACTTGCTTTTTATTCCATAAGTTAGAGGGCAAAAGATTAAAATTTTCTGTTTAAAGTCAATATCCTTCAGAGAATGTTTTTATTACTGGTACATAATAGGTGCTTAATATCTGTGTGAATGAATAAAGAAGGGAGTGAAGGAGTGAATAGTTTTGAATGTACTTTGGCATTCTGATTGTAACTTGAAAATACATATATATGTGCATATATATAAAATGATCATACTGAGCAAAAATCACTCATCTTTAATTTATATATATATATATATATATTATTATTTGTTCATTCAATCACTGTATATCATTTAGATTGTAAAGAGACTTTACCCAGCATGATATACACTTCAGTCCAGCCAAATTGAGAATACTATACACATCATCATGAACAGGAAATAAACCGTATCTGTGTCCCACAAATGTTTTACTTCTCTAGTTTTTCCCCACATTTCCTCTTCTCCTCCCACACTCTCTTTCCACTTTGTCTCTATTGTCCATAACAATTTTGAATGCTTTTATATCCTCCAGTTTTCAGTCTCTACTATTGAATGTGGACAGTTGGTATATGTTAAGTGGAGACACACAATGTCTCCCTTTCATAGTCATACTTGCTTCACTCAGCAACAAATCTTCCATACTTGTTTATTTCCTATCAAATGCCAGCACCTTGTTTTTTACGTCTAAATAGTATTCCATGGAGTATATGTGCCACACTTTTTCAACCATTCATTTGTTTGTGGACATTTGGGTTGGTTCCATTTCTTATCAGTCATGAATAATGCCACAATAAATATAGCTGTGCAAGCACTTTTCTGTCTGAGCGTTCTCCTGACCTTTGGGTAGATACCCAGGAGTAGAACAGCTGGATCATATGGTAGTTCTATTTGAAGGTCTTTGAGGAATATCCATGTTGTTCTCCACAGTGGTTGGACTAATTTACATCCCCATCAACAATGTAGGAGTGTTCCCTTTCACCATATCCCCTCTAGCACTTATTATAAGTGTTATATCTTCTTAATGAATTACCCTTTTACTAAAATATAATGCTCTTTGTCTCTTCTTACAGTTTTTGTCTTAAAGCCTATTTTGTCCAAAATCAGTATGGCAACTCCCACTCTTTTTGGTTTTCATTTGCATGGAATACCTTTTTCTAGCCCTTCGCTTTTAATCTATGTATGTCTTTATCTGTGAGATGAGTTTCTATAGGCAAAAGATGGAGAGTTTCTGATTTTTAATTTCATTTAGGCAGTCTGTGTCTCTTGATGAGAAAATTTAATCCATTAACATTCAACATTATTATCGGTATTTCCAGACGTGTCCCTACCATTAAGTTGGCCATATTCTTGGTTGGTTTTTGTTCTCTTACTGCTGTCTCTCTGTCTTTAGTTTTCTTGGTAGTACTCCTTTCAGAATTTCTTGAAGAACTGGTCTGGATTTGGTAAGTTCTTTCAGGTTTTGTTTATCTGAGAACATTTATAATCTTCTTTTATCATATGAAGGATAATCTTGCCTGGTGTAGTATTCTTGGATGAAATCGTTTTTCATTTAACATTTTATATATATTTCACCATTATTTCCTTACTTTTATTGTATCTGATGAGAGGTCCAGTGTTAGCCTGATAGGATACCCCTTGTAAGTGACTTCATGTTTCTCTCTTACCAATCTTAGTATCTTGTCTTTGTCTATGGTTTTGGCCAATCTAGCGATGATGTGCTGTGGCGAGGATCTTCTTGGATTGATTCTATTTGGGGTTCTTTGTATTTCGGGGGTCTGAATGTTTGAGTACTTTTCTAGACCTAGAAAGTTTTCTTTCGAGATTTTGTGGAATAGATTATCAACACCCTTATAGTTTCTTCACCTTCTGTGATACCAGTTATTCAAATGTTTGAGTGTTTCATGGTATTTAGTATTTCTCATATATTATTCTCAGCTTTCTTGGTTGTTTTCTCAGTATTTTTGATAATTTTGTCTAGGTCAGAAGTTTTGTCTTCTACTTCCGAGATTTGATCTTCTGCATGGTCTAAACTACTTTTAATACTTTCAAGGGGATTTTTGATTTCCTATATTACAGCCTTTATATCTAACAGTTCCATTTGATTCTTTTTTATGGTGTCCAGTTCTTCTTTCAATGTGGGAATCATGGTGGGAGTTTCGAAATCAGATTTATGAAGGGGAGTTTCACTCTTTTTACAATCACTACAGTGAAGGTCACACAATTCTCTAAAACTCACAATGTTCAAATATTTAGCTACTATTCACCTAGACTTCTCTAGGACATGGTAAGATCTGAGCAGTAAAATAGGAAAGTAATTTAAAAGAAAACAAAAGTAGGAAACAGAAATACGAAGATAAAGCAAAGAGAAAAGAAGAAAAGTGCTAGGACAAAAAGAGAAGAAAAAAACACAGAAATCACATTGCAGAAAATAAAATTGAGTTAAACATGGAAAGCACACCATGGGAAAAGGGCATCAGAAGCAGAGATGGAGATGGCTGGGTGCTTTCTGTCCTAGGTGAGGGAAGAAGAAACAAATTAGCAAGAGAAAGGCACAGACAGGGAAGAAAGCTGTTTATAAAAAAGAGAAAGAAAAGTTAGAAGGGACAGAGAAGAACAAGAGGGAGAGAGAGACTTTGCCTACCTGACTAGCACTGGGGTCTGGAAGGAGGGGGGGGGTCTTGGGGGTGTTTCACAGCTATGAAACTGAACCCAAAAGGGGCAGCAGAGGCCGAGATGGAGATGCCTGGACGCTTTCTGTCCTGACTAGTTCTGGGGTCTGGAATGGAGGGGAGGGCTGGCTGTGGGTGCTTTGCAGCCATGAAGCTGAACCCAGAAGGAGCAGCAGAGGCAGAGTTGGAGATGCCTGGATGCTTACTGTCCTGACTACATTGGGGTATAAAAGTTGGGGCCCTGGTTGGCGGGGCTTCACAGCCATGAAGCTAAACCCAGAAGGGGCAGCAGAGGCAGAGATGGAGATGCCTGAATACTTTCTCCATCCTTCATTCT